GGTAAGCTGGTAGTTTTCACTGTGCTAATTAATTTCAGAATTTTTAAAAAAATTATATACCTAGTGAAGGCATTTGACTTTATGGCTTGGAAATTGAGCTTAGGTTTGCAAACTCTTAGGCAACAGATTAGCTGGTACTGGCATCAAGTGATCAATTAACTGAAAGATATTTAGGTATACAGATCATAGCTTTAGAAACATCTATCTTATAGTTACGTCCTTGAAGATGTTTTGGTAATGATATTTATTCCACTTTTATTTTGTAAAGATTTATGTGAGGGTGAAATGGGTGATGTCTATACTGAGGTGCATGAAAATGCAATGCTTTAAAAAAATAGATTTATTTGAAATTGTAGCAAAAATGCAAGAATATTCTGCAAGAGAAAATGAGACAAAATGAGGGACAGAAGCATTTGAATACTCAAATTTTGAAATCAAATAGTAAGGCAACATAAATTCTTATAGTCTCCTCCAATCCACAAAACCAGCCAAAAGTAGAGATCTATTTTTTTTTAAATCTGGAAAAGTAATAGAATATGGGATAAAACAGCCTGGGAGAAGGGATTTAGTAAAGTCACTAAGACTAACTGAGAATGTGACTGCTTTTTTCAGTAGAAGGTGCAATGGCTCCTTCACTGCACAGGGGAAGGAGAGCTTGGACTGCAGTGGCAAATCCAAGGCCAGAAAGAAAGACTGGGAATTTAGGCCATTCACCTGGGACAGAAGGAAATATTTGAATCTAGATCTCCTAAATCTCCGCAAGCACTGTTTTCTAAACTCTGGAGTTACCTCCTCATCCAATGAATGTTTAACTATTTAAAGTAGAACAACTTCAGAGAAAAATAGGGAAAATTAATCTCCAAATAACCTGAAATCTGAGAAATTATATTTTGAGTTACTAGGCTTAAGCAAAGCAGAAAGCTGAGTCTGGAGAAGTTTGAAATGCTAAAAATTTATATTGGAGAAAGAAGCAGTTTCTCATATGTGCCTTTATAACAGGGCTTCACAATTCACACCATCTTTCTTCAGCTTCCCCCAGAGGTTTCTCATTATACAGCATGAGTCTGTCATGTGAGACTTGTCTCTGGTTCTGTAACTTCTGAAATAGATTAAATTAAAGGAATGTTGAGCCCAGCATCCTTAAAAGAGGGCTCACCATATAACATACTTCAAATATTATTTTCCTCATGCAATGTAAATAGTACTGTGCTTCTGGTAATCTACAGTCCAGATTAATTTTGACAATAGATATTTCCTAAATAATTTATTTGTTGCTAATTTTCACAGAAATACTTTATTTGTTTTATTTGTTTAAAAAATTGCTGTGACTTTTTATCCAAAGTCTTGGCTGGTTGCTGCTGTTTAGATTTGGTTCTGTTCATCCTTTCCTCTTCTCTCTTTTTTCATGAAGAAATGCCAATGGAGTAAGCAATGTAGTAGTGAATTGCTTTAACACTTGCATCTCCAAATAATGTCGAATGAAATATGTCCATAATAACCAGGATGTACTTATAATACTTCCCATTCTTCATCTTTTTAATCTATGCAAAAAGTATTACAAAATCTATGCAGTATTTTTCTTTGAAATAAACATGTGCTAACAAATTACCAAGGTAATTGTAGTTTGTCCTGGGTATTTGTACATAAGGAAGTTTTTAAATGGAATAATGCCATGGACAGTTTGTTCCACTGTAAATCAAAGAATAATGTTTAGAAAATGCACAGTGGTGTTTAGTATAATTACTTAAATATTCTAATTTTCCTGTGCCTCTGCGTGTTGGCCTGATCTTCCCTTCTTCTGATATTCTGGCAGATAGTTCTGTTGCAGTGTGCTTCCTAGTATAACAATTAAGAAGAGGACAGAGTATTGAAATATGTATTTCTGTAATTTTTTGAAGTTTTGGCATATTTCAGTTAGTATTAAAATGCTTTGGAATCTATAATTATACAACAATACTACAAGAAAATAAATTTTTATAACCATGTTGAAACATCTACTGTAATTGCTTTAAAAATAGGACAGAGATATTTCATTTGTAGAGTATTGACTTAATGTTCCATTTTAGGGTTGGTTGGATTGTATAAAGATAAGACGTTATTCAAGAGTCTATACACACATATGCACACTCTACTGTTTGGATTAAATATGTTCTTGTACACTTGTGTATACATAAACTTATACAGAAATACACTTATACCCACAAAATACTAAGCAAAAAATATATAGAATGCTTACTGTGAAAAGTTTGTCTTGGTTACACCAGTGCAGAATTTGGGTGAGCATTTGCTATCTGTATACACTTAATTTTATTGTACTGTATATCCCAGAGTGAAAAGTATTTATTAATGTAACATTGTAATCTGTTGCACAACATAGTTTGGCTTTTTTAAGAATTAGACTTCTAAATTTGTGTTCAGTTACATCTGTAAGGTTATACAGAAAATTAATCTGAAGAATACTGTTTGGTATTAAAGTTCAAGAGTTGAAAAGCAACAGTCATCATTAATAATTTTTGGTAAGTGGTTTTGGGGGCAGGTGGCTATTTTCTTTTTCAGTTACACTCGGCATTTCTGTGCCAAGAATTTTTTTTTTTTTTTAAGAGAAATGTCACTTCCAGCAGTAACATGAAAAGGCCAAGAGAAAGAATATTAACCAGCTTTCTTCTCTCCTTTAACAATGATTTTTTTCCCCTGTAATATACTCTATTCTTGCATACCATTTTGAAGGGTATGCAAGCTGAGGAACATGTAGAAAGACGTCTCTTCTTTCTCCATTTGCATATCAGTTTTGTTCTAACCTTACTCTCACCTCATGTTTTCCACAAATAAGAATGGAAGTAGCCTTACGTGCTGATTCTCCCTACATTGCTAGAGAGAAAAAGAGCTTTTGGAAGTACAGTACAGTACAGCATTCACTGTCCTATTATCCCCATGGTGGGCTACAAACATACTAGTTCTAAAGCTTTCCCAGGCAGTAAGATCATCACTGAAACAGAATGACAAGTGGTTTATAATCTCTTTTGCATTGAATCCTCATATTACCACTAGTATATTAAGTGGTGTTATTTTAGCAATGTGGTCTATACTGTGTATGTACATTACAGAAATGTTAACTCTGTTCTTATAAAATGTTTCAGTGGTGTAATTTGTTTCATATATTCTAGAATGCAGATTGGATGAATGGGGTTTTTTCCCTTCAAAGAGGCAACCATTTCACTGCAAAGGAATAAAGATTGTGCGTGTTGTTGTAAAATAGGATGAACTTATGCAACTGAGTAGGATGTTTTTTCTTTTATTCACATAATAAGGGTTATTTTACAGAGTATTGTGGATATGTCTGAGAGTAAATCAAAGCTATTTTGTACATATGCTATCTGAAATACAATTTAGTAATTCTGATTACCCCCTATAATGATATATTTGCCACAATAAACATCAAAATGATAAATCTTAGCTGGCTATATTTGACATGCAAATGTAGATGTTAAGCCTTTATTCAAACTTATTTACTGTTACTGTATATGAGATATTAACAGGATACAAGCAAGACTTGAAAAATAGAGAAATGGTTGGTATGGGCCTGCCTTGGCAGATTGTCTGGAATCTGAGCTTTAATTTGAAAATGCATGATGGAAGTGAATGCAACTCATTGGGAGTTACAAATACTTAATTCTTCTCAACTTTAAAATCTACATTTTGACACTGAAAGACAGACCTAAAGTTAAATTTCATGTTGAGAGATGTAAACCGCTGTTGTCAGATCTAAGATTTGTAATAGTAAATTTAACTCTGTGTTATTCAGTCAGTATATGTGAGTAGTCTTCTGTGGCTTATTGACACTTAACTCGAGGCTTGCTTTTAATTTTCCTTTTCTACGTGCCAGCAGAAAAAAACAAGACTCTATGGAGTGTATTTTTTGTATACACACACATGTGTGTTTATAAATGTACACCTCACTAATATTCTCATTTGTCAGTTTTATCACTCAGTGTGTCAGGAATCTACCTGTACATACAGCAATGTAAAATCCTCACTTTCTCAATGAAATGGCAGGAAATAAAACAGGTTAATATTAGTAAGATTACAAGTTGTGGTTTGTTTTTTTTTAACTTTGCCTACAACAGCAACTGAATCCTACTTTTGGCTTGGAATGTGATCTTTGCTAACAACTTGTGTGAAGGAAGAGACATGATTGTGTCTTTCCTCTCCTGTAGACCCAGCTGTGACAGCAACAAACCAAAAGTCAATATTAAAAGCCGACACACTGTTCAAGCACATATGTAATGTTTTAAGAGAACTCTGGGAAAATTACTGATAGCCAGGGCTACTTGTTCTCCATCATTTCATAGCTACACAATTTACTATTCATATTAATCTTTTGTCTCAGTTGCATGCTTTGTAATGCAGGCTTTCTTTTCTCTTTCTGACTCTGAAAATATGAGTTGAATGTATACTTCTGGAGAGCTTTTTCCAGAGTTTTCAGACAGTTTAAGTGCTGAGCTTTGAACTGTCCTATTAGTTTTGATTTTAACAAAATGTTAAAATGACAGTTTAACTTCTAATACTGCCACTTTTGAATGTCTGAGCAGTTGAGTGGGTATTTCTACTTAACCACATAATTTAAAGCCTAATGAATTGTGTTTCTGCGACTAAATGACAAACAAAAAGAAAATGTTTATAGCTTTGCAAGTTGAGATGTCATTAAACGTGTTTTAATTTCTATGAACAATTTGCATGTGGAGGTTGGGAACATTTTCTTTGTATGTAAAAACATTTCACACTTATCTAGGTGCATTGTGGGATGTTTATTGTCCTTCGAAGCATGTTGTAGGGCCGCTGGTAATGTAACCGTGGTCAGATCTCTTATGATAACTTTGTTTTAGGAATGCAGTAATATTTACATAGCAGGAGTCCTGAATCTTAGCAATGTATTTATCTCATGGTACTTGATACTAACTACTTCTTTTTTTATTTTTCTTTTTCTTCTTCCACAATTGTAGGTAATTTTCAGGTGGTGGAAAATCTCACTTAGGAATGAATTTCGTGAATCAAGACCTGGAGAAATTAAGGAATCCCAGGAGGATTTTTTGGGTGATTCATCTCTTCATAGTAAGATGACAATAATAATTACAAATTTGCTGTGGCATATAATGGAATAATCTAGCAATATTGATCTGTAGCAACTTTCATGAAAGATGTGATTGCTTTGGCTAACAGGCTTTTTTGTATGAATTTACTAATATAAATTAATGTATGAATACTGGAAAAACAAAAAGACATGGCAGTAAATGTAAATATAGGATAAACCCCAGCAACATTGCTAGTTGCATTATAAGACAATGACAGAGGTATTGGCAACAAAAATAGGCCAGAAAGCAATATTTTTATTGCTAATACCTCAGTCTTTATAATGCTCTGTGCCAGCACATTTGTTTTTATGGCCACGTCATGAGCCACCTGGATTCCCAATCTGATTTAACATAAGTAATACCAAGTGCAACAGGTACTTGGGATTATACAAATGCAACATGGCTTTAGGAGCATACAGCCAGAAAAAGAAAGGCACTGGAGACACCGCTAAATAAACCTCAAAATGTATATTTATAGAGCTGTTTTCCAACCTGTTCCTGATAGATGTTCTCAGTGGCCAGTCTGAAATAATGATGCTTTTTCCCAAAGTTCCATGGGACTATGTGTCCCAGGTAGTTATTGTTCTGCATCTTCTTATAACCTTGGTTCTCAGTAATGGATTAGTTTTTAAGAGATATCTTGTCACAAGATATGGTTGGTCATGGCTCACAGAGGAAACTGTCTGCTGAAAAATACTAAGGCAAAGACGCATTAATTCAGCAACTGCCACAAATATCTGAGGTCTGAGCTATGACCTGGTCTGAAAATGGAGAACTTCATAACTGCACCCTGCAGGGACTGGATTGAGATCTGAGGCTTTTGTAGCTCAAGAGACTAGGTAGCACTCAAACGCCTTTCATTAGTGAGGTTTTTTTTTTACTGAGCTGTTCTTGTATTCTGATTACATACAGACATAAAAAAATTTAGTTACAGATGTGACTTCATATTAATCTTATTGTTACGATGAACTCAAAAGATGTCATTTCCAAATGAAGTCCTGTTTTCCTCATCAACAGCTTTGGTAGACATCATCTTATTTACATGTAGGCAGAGGAGGCCTGCTTTCCCAAGAAGTATTTGAATCTCAGGTGGAAGAGGAGAGGGTAAAACTTTCCTCAAGAGAATATACCTGTTTTCAAGAGTAAACTTGCATGTATCTTCATTTAGGGTCTGAAATAAGACCAACGCATGTTTCCTATGCTTTGCTTATTAAAATCTAACACTTCCTACAGCACAAGCAAGAGATTTTTAGCCTTGGTGAGTTAATGTGGTCTGCATTTCTATGTTTAGGTTTGTGTTTCTAATTCCCATTATAACTTTTGCAACTGACCGATTTCAAGTGAATTTGATTGAAATAATAACACTTCCTTAGGCAGTTGGGTAGGGAGACTGCAAGTGACTGCTGTTAGTGCTCCACTGATGGAAAGACTGCACACTCAGAGCTCAAGTGACCGGATATATGCACAAACCATGGAAAAAGTTTCAGTCAGTACTTGCAGTCCATAACAAAACAGATCTTTAATTCCAGTTGTTACTACTTGTTTTGACTAGAAGGGGAATGAATGTATCATGAACCAATAGAAAATGGACTGCCTGTTGAATTTGCCTAGTGCTCAGGGAGTCTTTTAAATATGCTATGCTTTTTTTCAGTAGGTGTTTATGATTGCTCCAGTAGTTGAGGCAGAGTTGCACCACATTTTAATTTGAAAACTGATTATCAATTCTTATAAACTTGAGCTTTCAAAGTAGTCTTCTATACTTTTTTGCCAAGAATTACACAGAATTTATAGCTGAATTTTAGCAATAGGTTTCAGTGGTTTTATTTTCAAAATTTTATTTTATTTTTTTACTTACCTCATAAAAGTAGATTTGGTATGTGAATATATATTGGTGAGGATTTTAGCTTGGTTTTTTCCTCATTGCTTATACCGTAAGATTTTCCTGTGTCTTTTGATATTAATATAATGTCACAATAAAACATCTGTTTTACATTACCTGGGTACAATGATTCAAACAGTTAAATTACTGTTAACATGCAGTTTTCTACTGTTATCCTCTGTGTTTTCAGTAGGTTACAAATTAGATCTGCCTGCTTTTTCTTGAAAAGTGTAATTAGTGGTTCAGAGGTTTCCTATTCCATAGGAAGTATTGAAAGCCACAGTTGCCATTCCTTCCTAACATTTAGTTATTTCTTCCTCCTTCTAAAATTATCTTTAAAATCATACATGGGGGTTTCCCTCTGGTTTTTAGTAATATTTTAATATAAAAGTGTTTTGGTTTTGGAAAAAATGCTAACATAAATAGAAGTATTATTAATATAAATTACTATGTTTGTGAGAAGTTGTATTGTTATATTGGTATTATTTCTGTCCATAGCTCTTGCTGTTCCACACAATCAGACGTTTTTACACCTCCTTCTCACCTCCTGTTAAGGGGAGCTTTGCTGCTGTTCTCCTAAGTATTCAGATTTTTTTTTTCAATAGTTCTCCACAAATACAGATACTGGAATATTATTCTAGTTATCCTTATTGAATTTTTTGCCAAATGAGGGTTCAAGTAAAAGATTCCTCACCAGACCCATGGTTTGCTGCTAAATATTTGGTACACCCCTACCAGCAAAACATTTATCTGTTGTTAAGTATTAGAACTTCCTGTTGTTATCTCCTAGTTCTCACTCCTAAGATTTTATCTGTTTTCACATCGTTGGAGATTTTTAGAGCAAATTTGTTTAAAAAAAAAAAAGGGAGGGTGCTTAAATTAATTCTAATGGACATAGGAAGAATAGTGCCCCTGAAAATGAAACATTTTGTGAGTATCCCATACAAGTATTTGAAGCATCCAATAGAAAACTGAAGAAGTAAACATTTTATAATAAATATTAATATTTTAGTAAATTTATAGTAACTACCATACAGCTGTAAACATCTGTGTTTGTTTCGAAATCTTTTCTTTTTGGACAGTGAAGTAACGTATCCATTTCTTTTCATAGTCTTGATAGAGCAAAGAGGGAAGAGCAAGATTTTGTACCTGGCTAGATTTTCATTATGGTTTTGCAAAGATGGGAAATTAATTTATGGTAGTGTAGGGCAAGAGTAGAGATGTCTATTTACATTTTTGGATGAGTGAACAAATAATACAAGTCATCAAGTAGTATCCAGCACTCACAGGATGAAAATTTCCCAGAAAACCTGAACTTCAATATACTTCATCATTAGCTGCAGATACATTTATAAAGCAGGATAAATGCAGCTAAGTATATTTTAAAATAGCCAAATCAGGTCACATTATTATTTCTAGAAATAAATAATTTTCAAGAAAAACTTAAGGAACAGCAAATATTCATGTGGTAGCCTGTTTAATCATTCAACATGAAATAGATGCACACTACAAATATTATCGTCATCAGTATGCGATGATTGGGATCATTCTTACGTATCAGCTTGAATTAGATCAGCCAATTTTTAGTTGACAGTGTAGATCATTTTTGGCCTTGCATAAGGAATTTGAGGAAAATTACCAACTATATAGAATGGAAATGCTTGGAAAGCAAAAAAGCAAATAAGAACCAACAGCAAACTGTTTGTGCTTGCAGTATGATATAGCAACAGAAAAGAAAGCTTGAGCAGTCTTGGGCCATCTCCTCAAAGACATCAAGAAACATAAGGTGATAGCTTCTTTCTACATAATTACCTTAGGAATATTTGGAGCAAAAAGAAGAAAAAAGTCTTAACATCTTAACAGTGAAATCTTGTAATTTGGAAAGCTCTTTCAAATGTGTTCACATAAGCTTGAGTTTTGTAACTAATCTTACAAAATATTTTCGAAGGAAAACTGCTGCCTCAAAATTGGATGCACTTACTGGCTATAGTCAGTATAGTTTCAACTTCCATGATTCTTTTTCTCTCTCTTTTTATGACTTTAACATACATGAGAAGATAAGACTCTTGTTGGTTAAAAAAAAAAAAAAAAAAAAGCAAAACAAAAAAATCCCCAAAACAACAGAAACACTTTGGATGCATTAGAATAATTTCATAATACAAAAAATAGCAATTCTGCTTTAAATTTAAATTTTGATCCCCATGTCCCTGTATGAAAAGGGAAAAAAAAAAAAAAGTCCTTTACAAATCTGGATGACTGCACTCATGTCAGATCTTAGGAAACAACATGTAGCTCCAAAATTTACCACTGATCATTCATTAGAAGTGTAGCAAATTGAATTCAGGATCCTGTTTTATAATGAACTAGTATTTTTATTAAAGCAGTTTGATAACACTGTTTCTTCAGATCATTTACCTATTTTAAATTCAAAAGGCCAAGTTCTAACTTGGACACTGAAGCAGAAATAATCGACTGTATGAATGCAGGACAGGGAGTAGCTGACTAAGCAGCAGATCTGTAGAGAAAGAATTTGGCATTGTACTGGATCACAAAGTGAATGAGTCAAAAAATGCCATGTCACTGTAGAAGACAACTGTCTTCAATTTCATTTTTAGTGGTTTAACTGTACCTACGTAAGATAAGAAGCAGAACTACAGGGACTCTTAATGTCAGAGCCATCATTATTTTCCCCAAAGCATACAACTGAAGTACTTTTCTCAGTTGTTTTACTAACCTCCTCCTGAGTAAATAGCACAGTCTGTATGTAAATAAATATATATGTATGTGGAAAAGTGGACAAAATGGATCTGGACAAGTTTCAGTTCAGCTTTTCTGCTGTTTTAATGTTCCTCAGCTGAAACAAGAGTTTGCAGTATACTAGACAATGTACAGTTTTTTACCCAAAGCCTGGTTTTACTGCTCAGGCTTCCTGGATGTCACTAGCAGCTCTTAAGACAAACTGAAATACTATAAATTACTAATGTTCGATATAAGATATTATATGTAAGTTTGTCTAGAAAACATAAAAAAAATTGAGCTGACTTTTTCTTTTTCTTTTAAGATGTATGTGAATAATGTGCAATTATTGGGAAGAAATTTCAGGCTTTTATAAATGTGTTGTGTCTTGGGTTTGGTTTGTTTGTTGTTTTTTGTTTTGTTTTTTTTTAATCACAGTTCAGATTGCGATAGTGTTTGGTGCCAAAGTTCTGGAACATGTCCTCAGTCTGTGCCGAGGTAATTATGACTTCCTGGAACGGCTTCCTGTGCCATTGCTACTGTACATCATTTCCTTTCTGGAGCTTGAAGATATTGCCAGGCTTTCTCAAGTTTCACGCAGATTTGAAATGGTAAAAAAAAAAAAAAAAACCATAAATTATTTTAAAATTGTTAGCTTCACTGTGCAGCATGTTGGTTTTGATTCATCTCACATTTAATATAATCATCAATCCGTCTGCTTAAAGTTTCAGACAATAAATTAATGATCTGTATACAAGCAACTGAATGGGTGCAATAAAAATTAGGTCTTAGGCTGTTAGAGAGACTGTGCTTATCCTGCAAACTTTTGTTGCATATAATAAACATGATGATCCAGATAATGCCATTGTAACCCATGGCTGGGCGTTATGAACTACTTCCAGGATTAAGTATTAGAAATTCAAAAGCTGTGCTTTGCATTGTGATTTGCATTAGTGTAATGTCGAGAAACTGCAACCATGGACCAGGATCCCCTTATGCTAGACTTGTTGACAAAAAAATCATTGCCGTTCCTAGAGAGCTTACATTTTAAATCTTTGACAAAAGACGGAAGCACAAGGAAAGAGTTTTTTTTCAAGATTTTTGTAGACCTCGCAGCAAGGAACTGTGCGAAACACAGGAGGAGAAAGAGATGACATATGCTTGCTTGCTAGGAAGCTCTTTCCAGCTATGAGGAAAGTATGGGAAATAGTCTGAACATGTTGAATTGAAACTTTAAAGAGTGAGTAACAGAACTTGCCACTATTGGCTGATTGGAGCTAAGGGTAGCCTCTCAGTGCTGAATGAGGGGTAACAAATAGGGAAGGATAGCCTGGAATTCCCGGGGAATGAGAGCCAATCTGTTGGTGCAGAAAAAGAAAACTCGTAGCATAACTTCAGCTGTGTTGGAAAGGCCTTTGAGAGGTCATCTATTCCAACTTCCTGGCCTGTGCAGGGTCAGGTAATTGGAGGGACGGAAAGATAGTATGTTCAGAGCTGTGATCAAGGAAGCTTATTTATGTGGGTCTAAATACCTCAAAAACTGCGTTTTCTGTCCCGGTCAGGGCCTGGGAAGAGGCTGCTGCAGTAATTCAGGTAGGGGGGAAAAAAGGGGTTTAGCTTATGAAAAATAGGAAGAGAAGCATATTAAAGAGAAAAATAACTTGATTCTTATCCTCAGGGGTGCCATAGGAGCCTAGAATGAAGCCTGTCAAGTTACGGGTTGTACAGTTACTGAAAACGTAAGTAATGGTGAGACCTTAGGAGGAAGATAAAAACAGGTTTAGTCATCTCCAGTCTGATGTGACAGCTAGATACTCTCTGAAAGACTTCAGAGAGACAGATTAGCCTTTTAGTTTTGAGAACAGGACATATCTCTGGTACAGAGTACATCTCCAGATTGTATCAGGATGAGATTGCTCACACGATTTGTATTATTCTGAGGCTACGTGGCCCAAGATTTCAAGAAAAGTTCTGTGGAAGACTGCTGATAGTTCAAGAGGACATGGCTGTGCTGCTGTTCTTATGATGTGGCTAGAAAGACATTCTAGATGCTTTAGCGAGCGGGAGTTCAAGTGAGCATGAGAAATAGGAGACAGTGTAAAGAAAGCACAGGAGACAATGGCAAGATAGCAAAATAGAGCATGTTGTGAATTTAGAGATGAAGGGCAGATGGAAGGAGATAAGCTTGCCGAGTTCTGGGCTTTATTTCAGTTTGAAGATAAAACAGTTGATATTGTGACTGGGAAACAACTGGTAGAGGATGAGAGAATAAAAACAACTAAAGGAGAGGAAGAGAATGGATAGAAGGGAGGTCAGGAAATGGTTTATTAGTACATTTGTAATCCATCTGTCATTTGCAGAGCGTGAGTGGAGTAGGATGAGGTAGTACGGAGGGCAGTAGACTTTTCATTAGTTTAACACAAAGCCTTGGGTATTCTGGAATTTAAGGAAACGCTAGAAAGAATTAAGTTGCATAATAATAAAGATAAGATTTTGGCACAATGATATAACCTCTTACAAGTAGTAACGCCATGCTCTCTTTTTCTCATTTCAGCACTATTTTTAAGGAATTAAAAATTTGCCCCAATACTATGAATTTTCATTTCCAGACTAATTTGCGTATAGGCTGGAATGCTGCTCTCCGTGGAATTATAAAATAGCATATTCAGATTTTCAAATAGGGAAAAACAAACCAGTCTCCGCACTCAGGACTGAGAAGTGGAGTGCGGAAGGCGCCGTACGCCCATCCTGTGCAATGCACCCGCACAGGCTGAACTAAGCGGGTATCTTCACTTGTTACCCAAAGCGCGGCCTTTCTCTGACGGCGCGGTTCTGAGCACCGATCCTGCTCTCCGGAGTATTCACACGCATATTGCAAACATGCTTTTCACAGTATTTCAGATTTTCGCTAGGTGCTGGGTTTAAGTATTGCAAAAGAAGCGCCATCTCCAAAGAGCGAGCGCACCGCACCGAGGCCCTAAGGCGGGCACGGCCGCTGCGGCCCTGCCTGCGTGTCCCAAACGCCTTTTCCGCA